GCAAAGCTTCAAGCTCGGTCAGGAGGTACTGGTGGGTCTGGTTGAGGTCGGCGTAGGCTTGGGCAAGCTGCTGGAACTGTTGTTCAGCAGTGAGAGGCACGGGCGCGGTGCTGGAGGTCATAAGGATGTCGGAAGAGGAGGACATTCCTCTGGTGCTACCAAATGATAGGGAATTGGAAGGTAAGATATTCAGAAGTTGATCTTTATTTGGTTAAAACACTGCGTCCTTTTATAGCAATTTTGTAATGGAAATATTCGAAATATAACTGATGTTGTAATGGAGATATTCGAAATATACCTGTTGTTGTGATAGGCAATATTTGAAATATACAGAACTGCAGTTGAACCCTTATCGGGATGATCCGGGTGGAACCGGAAAGCTCATTATGTAATAAGCTGTCAGCTCGATTGGCTCAGCTGGTAGTAGCGTGGGGCTGTTAACCTCAAGGTCAGTGGTTCGATCCCACTATCGAGCGACGATAAGAATCAATTTTTGATTCGCGCTCATTTGCCTGGTAGTGGGTTGATGCCATAGGGACACAATGGGTGGGGGTTGTTGAATCAGTTAAATTCCTGGTCTCATTTTCCCTTCAATCGCTTTCTTCATTCATCACTTCATGTGAGTTGACAAAAAGTGAAGGTCCAGAATACTATTCCTTTTTTCACAATGCGGCCAAAGCCTTCTTCACAACCTTGTAAGTTGAGATGTAGGCGTCTTTGCCAAATGACTGAACAAGCTGCTCGCGCCTGTCACCTGCCATAAAAGCATCGAACGAGACAATCACTGGTTCTTCCTTATTTGCCTGAATATATGGATGGGTATCGCTTTCCATTGAACGGCGCCATAACCGCTCTCAAATATGCCACTCTACCTGCGGCCATCCTCTCAACAAGACGCGATCCGTTTCAACGACCATTTGAATCTGGACTCCACTCTGGAAACCATCAAGAAGCGATCATGAGCGCCTCAAATTTTCCCCCCTCTCAAGCGAAAGGGGCGAAAAATCACGTACCGCCCCCTTCAGCGGCACCCTCCCCGTTTCGTGGAGCACCTCCCTTTTGTACCCATAGGCGCTTGGGATCTGGCCTGCATGCCAGTCCATGGAGCGCTCCTGCTCCGCGATCCAATGAGGCTTCGGCATCGATGCGGTGCGGGCGGCCTCGGCCGAAAGGAAGCTGCCTGCGGTAGGGGAGCGGGAGGAGGCGATGACTGCGGCGCGGGTGTTGCTGGAGGGGAAGAGGTGGAGCGGCTTGGTAAACTTGGTGATGCCAGCGTGGTGAAGGGGAGTCGCGAGGAGGGAGGAGGCATGGGAGGTGGGAGAAGACGCGGTTGCGCGGTTGCGGAGTTGTCTGGTTGGGCTGCTCATAGTTTTGTGTGTAAGAAATTTAGGAGGCGCTAGTTCCCATTCCATTTCTGGAAAGCATCGCCATCAAGCACTCATGTGAAGTGGACAAAGTGTTTATCAGATGGCATTGCGAGCTCAAACTGCCGAAAAGAACACTCAAGAAAAGAGCTTCAAAACGTAGTCTCCACCACTACTCCCACAGCTAAACACCCACGGCATGGTGGGGTGAAACTCGCACGATAATGCCCCTAAGCTATCAACTACTTCGTGCGCCTTAAAGCTCTTGAGTGGCACAATCAGTGGGTTCTGATCCAAAGTGTCATAGACCATGCCATGGAAAATGTTGAGAGTGCCATCGTCACTGCAGGAAGCAAACAGGGGCAATGTCCGGTGGAATGTGGCGTTCCGTACAGCGCTCGTGTGGTAGCGCAGGGTTTTGTATGGCTTTGCGCTGAGGTCCATGTCAAACCAACAGAGACGTTTGTCGTAGGATCCGATGAGGACGTTATCGCCTGCAAAGCCAAAACAGTTAGGACGAGCCAATGAAACAACGAAAAAAGGCATGCACCTTGCGGGTGGACATCCATCGAGGAAATCCACTTGACGCCCGGCAACAGCTTGTTGATGAGCTCCTGTTGTATAAGATTGTATACGCGAATATAGCGCTGCGTGGCGACAAACAGCCATGGCTTCTTTGGATGGAACTGCACTTTCTGCACCAGGCCATACGATTTTTTGAACGGGTGCTGTGTCTGGCGTTTTGAGATTTGGTGGATACTGACGGCAGAGCCTCCGGCTGGCGAGTATGGGATATTATAAGACTCTTTTCTTACTTATTGCATTTGTTCACACTTACCATCGGGGCACACAGTGCTGAAGTAGTCACCCTTTCGGTGCCAGACGACGCTCGTCACGTTCTTGGCAAAGTTCAGAATGACGCGATGTCCCTTGCCGTAACTTGCCGCACTAGGCCTCTTCCAGTCCATTTTAGATGGCGCTTCTGTTCAACAAGAAGGATGACACACTCAGCTTGCTACTAATGCTGAGATAAAAACCGTACCAACACCCCAGATGTTGACAAATACATCATCGGTCGCTGCATCCACTTCCTTTGAAGCGACACCCGGATTCAGCAGAAACACGTCCGTCTCCCTGTCATCAAAGCAGATTCATCAGTCACCTTTCGCGATCCAAAAACAACTACAGATGGATGCAACACTTACACAGCAACAGCCAAAATCGAAAACGCCACATTCGGATTCCACTTGACATCCTGCACCGCTTCTTCAAACACCCACTTGGACACACACCGTCCCGTCAAAACCTCCCACACTCGTACCGAGCGATCCTCGCCTCCACTTGCCAACCACTTTCCACTCGGATCCACCCCAAACGCTCTCACCCGCCCTGTGTGGCCTCGATATAGCACACTTATTTCCTTGGGGTATGGTTCGAGCTCGCGGCGACTGGGCAACTGCGGGATCAGGCTCTCCGGGTCCACGTTGACCCGGTTCTTGATCATGCGCGGGCACAGGTAAAGGTCGAGACAGCGGTCAAAGCGTTCGTTCACGAAGCGCTCGTAGGCGCCCACGCTGCGCAGGTTCGGGTGTTTTTTAGGGATGTAGTTTTGCGGACGAAGTTCCGCGTCGAGGGCGTGCCATTCGGCAATTTCGGAAGGGGTGGGGATGTATTCGATGGGCGGGTTGTAGGATTCTCTGTGGTCTGGTATTTTTTGGTTAATTATACGGATGAAGCGGAAATGAAGTTGGACGTTACCAGGCAGCGGCATGCGAGGAGCAGGAATGTGCATGGGCGCGTCTTTTGCGTCCGGGTCGCTGTGCTGCCAAATGTCGTAGAATTTGGGGAGGGCTTGTTCTCGTTCCCTTTGAAGTTCTTCGGTCGTCTTTTTCCATCCTTTCTTGATCGACCGCACAATTTTCATAATCTTTCAAAAAGAGGATTAGGTAAAAAAATCTGACAGGATGGGCGCGAAGAGCAAACCTTGGCAGCCTCATTTTTAGACGGAATAAACCGACTCTTTGGTTCCGGGGCGGCACTCAATGGCGCAATTTCCGTCTTACTCGAAAACCAGTCGACAGCTGGCTCATATGGGTCGTAGTCCTTGTCCGGAATCATCTTGGACTGCACTCGTTTGATAATGTCCAAGTCCTGGTCCGTCAGCACGACATTTTCCCCCTCCATCTTGTTGAATACGCTACGCCTGCATTCACATGATTTGGGTAGGATCAGTATGATTAAGGCAAGCGATGATGTGAGCGCCTTTGGTCGATTTCCATTTCACACTTTCAACTCGTGCGTTGAAATGTCTCTTAGGAGTTCCGCCACCTCGTCATTTCAGTAACCTCAAGTAGTTCGCTCGTCATCCGAGCTTTTTGTTCACGCACGCTTGCTTTCGCCTTTTCAAAATTGACGCGTCGCTCGCACACATCCTTGAAGTTGAACGTGAATGAAGTCCATTTCTTTCATCCCAACTCCGTCAAACTTGCGCGTCAACTCTCGTCCTTGAATCTTGATTGATTCGCTTCGACAGGAACAACGAACGAGACGCACCAAGAGTCCGGGTCATCCATCGAGTCCAAGAATGCATCCAGTTGGTCCTTTGAGACGGCAGCAGGCTTTGCAATCTTGTTTCCGTGAATGTCGTATCCAATGTGGTCCAGGTCGGCGTACCACTCCAGGGGCACGTTTCCGATCGTGTTGTGGGTTTCTTCGTCCGAGTCATCTGAAGCGTAGTCTGGGATGATTTCGGGTAGTTCGTCGTCGTCGTCGTCGTCGTCGTAGTTGTGATTGGACTGAAGGTGGCGGCTGTCCTCGATCCACGGGTCGTCCTCTTCGTCACCACCTTCTCCATCGTCACTAGCACCATCCTGGCTCGTGTCCAGGTTGAGATGCAGCGGATGTTGGCGGTGGATCGCCGTCGGTGTGGGCAGCGTGCTGCCTTCCGCGCCGTTCGCACGCACCGCGTTGCGAGTAGACGTGGACGACGACGCGACGGGTGGCGGTGCGAGCGGGGCGACGGAGGCAGAGTGCGGCCGGGTGGCTGGTGCCATCGTTTGCTGTCAAAGGTAAAAAAGAAAGAAAGGCGCCGGTGAGGATGATGATGGCAATGAAGGAGGGCGACCACGTCCTCGTCAAGATGCCCTCGCACAACCTGAAGATAGGTACCCGTTGCCCGTGCCCTTGCGTCTCTGGTCCCGTGCCAACCGAACCCCTCGTCAAACCAAAGTCCATCTCAAGACGGCAGCCACCAAAGTCAATCTGGGCAAGTTTGGATCCTTCCAGGCGGGAGAGCTGTTTGGCAAACCGTGGAACGCCGTCTACAACATTGAGGCCGATGGGACCGTCGAGGCGGTCGTCGATCCGAACCAGTCTGTCGTGGACTTTGGTGAATATGAGCCCAATGCTTAAGGAAACCAAACGAGACTAGGAGAAGCCAGCTGTGACGGCCAATTAAAACGCGAGACGTGGCCAGAGTGCGAGTGAGGTTGAAAGGATACGACGCCCGAACAAACACACTCAATTCTCCTCATTCAGTCTGAAAGATCCTCTCCAACTATGGACCGAGGTTATACACCTTACACGCGAGGTCGCGGAGGATCGACGCGAACTATGGAGGTTAAAAAATACAAAATTCAGCTGTCGACGCAGAGGCCGCCGCAAACAACAACAATTCACAGCTGCTGGATCTCGGACAGGTGCAGCAGGCAACCACAAAGGCGATCATTGAAGAAAAACGCGCAGAGCTCGCGCAAGGTGCCATCAAGCCTGAGGTGCCACATCCCTTGTCAAGGTCTTTTAGCATTCTTATCTTTCACATCCTTTTTGTTCATTATTAGGACATTGTGAAGACTCTCGTCAGCACAAGTCAAACGTTTGAGACAAAGACAGTCTTTGCGCAGCAAAAGTACATTCGCCGAAAGGAACGGAAATTCAGTCGCAAATTCGAGGCACTCGAACCAAGCGCACGCAACCTCTGCGAATACTACTTCACAACAAAACCCCAAAAAACACGGTTAGATTGCAATTTATGTTCCTCCAAGTTTGTCAATCTCAAATTCTCTATTGCAATCACAACAGAGGCCTGCGTATCGACACCCTCTCCCAAATGC